TCCAACGATTTAATCCTTAATGTCTGACTTTCACACAAATCAATTATAAGCCTTATTTATGTCTATGATATGGATCTCAACCACTGTTTCAAAGAGAAATTCATTTCTAAATTGGATATCAATTCAATAATTAGGTAGCAATTTATGGATTAATTTTAATAAACAATTTTTTGTTATAAAATTATTTCAGACAGTTCTAGATTATAATACTGTATCAAAATGTTATACGTTAATTTAGTTCACAAATCTAAACATTTTTATGTAATTAAATTTAAATAATTTCATTTTATTAAAAGTTATATAATTTGGTTAAATATGAAAATTTGAATGAACTTTAAATGAATACGACCGCAATGTTTGACAATTTAATGATTAAAACTGTAAAATTGCCGAAAGTAGACAATCATATTTTCATTGATAAGTAACCATAAAGTTTTAATTGAAGGTTTACGATCGGAAATATCAATATATGTGATATTATGTGATTTTACACAACATTTTACTTATTACGCAATATATATCATTAACATAATTGAAATAAATCCGTTGCAAAATCGATTAATTTATAAATAGTATGTAAACAACAAATTGGCAAACATTTAATTGGGTTTTTATTAGTCTATAAATGGTTATAACAAGTGATTGAAATTATAGTTACAAGAGTTACAAACATTGATTTCAGTGTTTATTGAGTGCTAACGTTATAAAGTTACCAATTATTGTATACACAATCGGCATAAGGAATGTCAATATAAGTGACAATTGTTTTGTTAACTTTTACATTAAATAAACCCCCGATTTCTAAACACATTTTATAAAATAAGTTATTAATATCGATATTTCAATAGTAATTTATGTCACTTTTAATAATATAAAAATATATTAATTTTTAACTTACATTAAAATCACTAAATTTTATTTAAGAATTGCTACTAGTAATGATTGATCATGGATAATTTAGATATTTAGACATTTTATGCTTTTCTAATATATGACACATTTACAAGGTGTATCATTATGCAAACTCATTAAATTATAAATTATAATTTATAATAAGTTTATGCATTTATTTATTTTATGGCAAAACTTTTATAGTTAATAAATATCTTAAATAAAATCTATTAGTATTTTGAATAGTATTTCCTCTATAAAAACATTTTAGTTACCCTAATATTCCGTGCATTACCCGCGGGTTATCTATTGTAAAAAGTGAAATTTTTGAAAAATTCTTATGTGCGGGTTATCAATGGGGTGGGTTATGTATTGATTACTACATGTAGAATAATATTCACATACAAATTATTGAGGTGCGGGTTATACATGGGTGCGGGTAATGCACGGAATTATAGGGTAGTTATTTTGGATCATTTCCTAAACAATTCTTACAAAGAATTTAACGGAAATAGTCATTACATGTGATGTTTATATTTCTGTTCACATATTATTGTCTATCGAGTTATAAATGTTTTAAATAACATGTTTTGTAAACAATTATAACTTACAAGTTAAAATAATTTAAGATTTGTTTATACCGGTAATAATTCTACAAACATTAAGCTTATGGAATATTTGCAAGTAAATTACTCAATTACTCAAGGTATGTGTATTTAATATTTCTTTTATTCAATTCAATTTAAACGACTACACAATTAACGCAATCTATTAATATATTTTACAACTTATTAACACTAATTAACACCTGTAAAACCATTCAATTGAGTATAGGTTTTATTATTATGTCTGTGGTATCCAAGCGTTGCCGTGAGTGTCGGGCAGATCGGTGTGAGGCGTATCCCACGTCCAAACTTTATCTATAAGTAAATTTCAAATAAATTTTACTTGTATTTATTTAAAGTAATTATAATCTATATATTAAATGAATACCATTTAGAGAATAGGGAGTCAATGGAGTGTCGTATGGAATGGGAAAACAATTGTTTGGCAACTTATCCGAGTCTTCAGACTTTGAAATCTCAAAAAACTCTTGATTTGTCTTTAAATTCAAATAAAAATATGAATACAAAACAAAAAGTTATTTCAAATATTTTGAACAAAATTATTTCGAAAAATCAATTCATACAAAAAGTTTAGGTATAAAAAGGACTCCAATTTCATATGACTTGATGGCCAGTTGTGTGTCATTCTTCTCGAGCTGACCCCACGCGGCCTTCGATAGGTTGGCCGAAGTCAGCACAAAGTATGCCATTTGTTTGTTATCGCCGGACAGTCGGGTGTATGTCTTGATGTGTGGGCACGCGATTGAACGACCCGTGCGTTCGCTTCGCCACGAATGCAGATATGATGTCAAATAAGTTTGTTTTCGATGCGTTTGAGAACTGATAACAGATAACAAAAAGTTAACAATAATTGTTAAATAAAAAACTTTGAGTAATAGGGAGGGCACACCTGTAGGGCAGAGAACCGCCACCGCTATAGCCCTCCAAACAGGTCCTCACGTTTTCAACGGATGGAAATATTAACTTCAGTCGCGGTTTAGTGACCAGTGATTTGACGCCACAAACAGCGGATAAAGTGCTGAGAAACTCATTTGTGAGCCATTTATCTGCAGTCGGACCCAACGAACCGATGCTCGAGAACTGTCCGATTGCGGGCCAACTCGAGTCCACATTCTTAGCCGACGGCCCGAACTCTGACAACAATCGCCGTAACTTCAAGTGACCGAATCGGCACTTGTTGTCGGCGCCCACATGTCTTCCCGGAACGGATCCCACGAGAAATACTTTGGCCGCCGATAAATCGTGTCGTCTAATGGTTTGAATCCATTCGTTGATTTCAATCGATGTGTAACTCTTGAGGTATTCAATTAAATCGGTCTTAAATCTGGTCTGAGATATGTCTGCGTCTGATGTATGAGTGGAGGGAAGCGGTGGGAAGAGAGGACTGATCCAAACCCCCTGAGTCTTCTGAAACCAATCCCTTTCGATGAGATTCGCGGTATGGATGACAACCCGTATGCCGTTGTCGTACCTCAAGAGCATCATCTTTGAGTGATGTGTGCCAAACATGTCCACCAAATGGGCGCCGAAGAGCCGTATGTTTGGATAGGGTTTGGTCTGGCTTTGCATCTCTCTGGTGGCGGTTCCGTCCCGTTTGGATCCGTAGACCACAAGCATTGGTAGCGATCGGAACTGTTTCGGGTACTGCTCTAAAAGCCAATCCATTTCAAACATGTAATTCATTTGAAGCGATTCCAAGAGTTTGCCATTCGTTTCGCTTAAGATATCCTTCAAATTAATCGCCTTTACGTTCAGCTCATTGTATTTGTTGTCAATTCCGGTGACTTTTGTCAAATAAAAGCCGTAAATATTGGTGTCAATCGTTTTGTTGGCCACCGATTCGTCCGAACTCTTGAGTCGTTTGTTTGGATTCACTGTCGAAGTGATCGACCGATTGTCTGAAGAGGAAGCGGTTGATAGCGGGCTAACACGAGATTTCCCATCACTGGTGACCAACGTTGAAGCGGCGTTTGGATCAGATGGATGGTCAAACTCTTGGAAGTGAAGGGGATTCTTGCGGTAACATTGCTGTCCATATCTACACATGGGTTTCGCTGACATTGTCTTGTATTTTGTCTTCACATGTGTTTCGCCTGTCATTCAAAGCCAACGCAAACACAACCAAAACATGTGTGAGAGTCACGTGACTTGTCATCAATGAATAACTTTTGGAAAGTTACTTTTCAATGCAATCGTCTCTCTCTCTCTCTCTCTGACTATAATCGAGAACATTTAAATATCAAATAACAATTGTACATGTTACATGTACATTTAATCGCCTTATACAATTTCGTTTGAAATTATATCACAAATTATTTTGAATATCATTTTCAACAAAAAACTTTATTTTAATGACAGTAACATTAATACAAGTATTAATATAACATTTTTAATGTATAATTTATTGG